ACTTGGCTTTTTTTTGTTGTTGTTTTGGTTGGGGGTTTTTGTTTGTTTGTTTTTCATTTTAGCTTTTCTTTGTTTGCTTTTGTGCATGGTCTGTTTTTGTTTTGTTTTGGTTTTTAGTTTTTGTTTTAATCTAACCCTAGCTATCACCTCTTAGAAAAAATCCAGTTAATGGAGAAAGCTGCAGCATTTCTCCTTTGTAATGCAGACTGCCAAGAGCACATTAAATCCTATCTTCTGCTCTGTTCTCTGGCTTTTCATAGCACATTGGGCAAATTGATTTGATTCGGCCATTAGGGAGTAAATTACAGAAAGTCAGTCATGGATGTACAGTGTCAGCTATCTTTTAGTTAGATGGGCTCAAATACCATTGCATCTGCATGTGTGCCTCTCCCCTCCTAAGACTGGCAGGTAAATAGCTCTCAGGCCATTTTTACTTTCATGATTCAATATCTTTAGTGATGAATAGCTACCTAGCTCTGACACAAAAGTCCTGGCAGGCAGCACAGTACACCACAACCAACCTGCTGTCATCAGCACTGGCTCCAGTTCACTCGCCTACACAATTGCCCGAGCTCATTCTCCTGAGTGCAGCCCATGTCCCGAGCCACAAAGCTCTGCAGACTGGAGACTGATCACCAGGCTTGACCATGAACAAGCCTGTTCCAGCAGCTTCATCCAAATACAAGAAAGCTATAGGAAAATATTGAGCCAAATTCTTTTTTTTCTCTGCACTATCTCCATGAATACATGAGGATGGTCTTGGTCTTCTGGCAGTTCTCCAAAGCAGTGCAACAGCATCCTGAAATGAGCATAGCTGAAGAGGCTCAGCAACAGCAAGAAATCTAGCTGGCAAGAAACCACTAGAAAAGATCAGGCATAATAAGGTAAAGTATCAATATTACAGCATAGTTGTCAAAGCAGGTCTTTCCACAAAACATAGAACAGATCCTCAGTGGAGGTAGGATCACTGCAGTCTCCCATTATCAGATGAACTGAAGCCAGCTAAATTCCAGGAAGATGCCCACTTACCAGGAGCAAGAACTGCACACGGAATGCTCAAAATTGAGTGGAAGTGAGTTGAAACAGCTAAGGAAATTTAACACATATAAAAGTGAAGTTACTCATATGAGGAAATTATTTTCTTAAACTGGAATTATAATTACTGTTCCCAGGTTGGATACTACCAATAAAGCATGAGAATTTAAGGTCATCTCTTTTAAGAAAATAAGAATATTACCAATAAAGATTTTTAAGATCCATAAAAACATATCAGTCAGAAGTACTGAAGAACAAAAAATATTAGGAAATAGATAACAAACAGAAGTCATCATGATGTGATTAGTATGAGATAGTGGTGTCTTTTAATATGAATGCAGTTCTGATCTCCTTGTTTCTGACAGACCTGAAGAGGGTGAAAGAGAAGCAACAGGGATGGGTGATGTGGTTTTGGGATGACAGTGGTTGGTGGTTGGACTTGATGATTTTGAAGGTCCACTCCAACCTTGATGGTTCCATGAATCTGTGATAGAGATCATCCAATTTACAGACACTTGCATATGGTCTGTGACCACAAAGGGCAGACTACATAGATTAGGACATTCAATTTAGAAGATAGCCATCCATAAAATTATGGGTGGCAAAGTGAGGGTGACTTCTCTTTGTCTGCTCCAACAAAAAAACTAAGAGGCATCAAACAGAAGTAGGAGATGGCAGATTCAGAATGAAACAGAGGAGATGCTGCTTTACACTGTGAAAATGGGGGAGTTTTTGCCACAAACATTGGGTGGGGGTAGTATTTGGAAGCTGGATAATTATCTCCTTGCCATGCATTTACACTTCTCCGGAGGGGTGAACTATTGGCCAGCGTTTTGCAGAAGGCCAATTTGGAAAAAAAAATAAATCTAGAAGTGCACAGGCCACACCATGCAAGGATGATTCTAGTGTTATGTTGTTTCTTTCTCAGCAGTTTCCTAAGTAGTCCCACAGAAGCTTCTCCTGCTAGTATCAGTCATTGCCAGCGTAGGGAGGTGTGTTTGAAAATGTCCATGTTGGCTTCTTGGCTCAAGGTCTGGTCTGTACATGGTCACAAAATTGGGTCCCCCTTAGTGGTCCAGTCAGCACATTTCAAAATGACTAAGTTATTGGTTACTTTGCTATGACAGACCTAAATAGGAAAGGCTCTTGTCAGACACATTGATGTGTTATATTGTCTTGGGCCACAGTAATATCTGCATGATAGGTACTGATGTGCCAGGTACTGACAAAAGCCACTTTGCATTCTTCCTTGTCAGTCCAGTGGGGCAGTTTTTTGTGTGCTAATATATATGTGCATATATATATATATTTATATATACACTTTCCTTTGATTTTATCTTACACTTTTCTTGCAGTAACTCTATTTTTCAGTCCCTGGTTATCAAGGTCAGGGTAATACCTTTGTCTTCTGTCGTATGCTCAGATAATCTGCAGAGTTAGTAGAGTACAATAAGGTTTTGGTTTTGCTTGTGAATTAACTCTGCAAAAATTACTTGGTTGCTTGCATTTTTAGACACAAATTGGGTCCATGGAAATGCAGAAGTCCTTGCATGGGGACAGAGCATGCTTGGTATTGCTGCATGGTGCTGGACTAGAGCAAGTCTTCTGAGCCAGATCAGTCTAAAACCAGAAAGCTACTGAGCCTCTGTGCATCACCTTTTGAAGGCTTTATATTCCAAGAACTTTATCAGCTTGTGTGCGATGTTGCATAACTGCAAAGAGCAAGTCTTAATTGAATGCTGAATATGAGTCACTGAGCCCTTCCAGAAAACATGCAGCTAGCAGCAGCTCATGAGGTTGTAACATTTGCAAAATGTGCAGGCTTTTCCTCCCCACAAATTACCCAAGATTGCCTGCATTTCAATGCTGACTTTAAATCCAGCATGACAACTCATCTCTCTGAGTGGAGGCTAGGATAGATTTACTAGAAACAACAGTCAAGTCTGAAAGAAAACAAACAACCAAACAAAAAAACCCGATAAGAAAACACCGAAGAAACACCAGTGTGGCTTTTTTCACTTGGAGTAAATATGGAAATCCAGCTGCTGATAGTATCATGCTGAAACTGCTCTGCTTCGTCTCTTGAGACCAGCTGGCACTAGGAAGGAGAAGGGTTATAGTTGCTAGAGATCATGTTCTTTGTCATGAGGATAAGGCACTTAATTGCAACTTATGGACCAAATACAGGTATGGGAAGCTATACCTTGTTCTACAGATTGCTACTTTAATGACCACTAGCTGCTATAGCTGTTCTGCCCATGCAAACCCTTTGTCATCAAGAGTTGTGAGTTTGATTGTCCTTCTCTCCTAGAAGAGTCTCTGCTTTTTTTTAGTACATGCAGAAATGCTCTTCCACGTCTAACCTGTAGTCCTTAGGTTTCACCTTTTACATGGGAGTAACATCAGCTGGCTTTAGAATCAAAAAGGATGCTATAAAGTATTCAGGCAAAGAGTTTTTTACCTGGAATTTTGGGAAATGTTTAAAATACACAAAGGAATTATTAGGTTGGGAACATATTCCTGAATTTATTTGGGATAAAAGTCTACCAGAAACGTTTGGAAAATGCCAGCAAAAATGACAGACAATTTTCATTATTTTTTTCCCCCGATACTTAAAAACTAACTTCAATTTGCCAGCTAAGGCAAAATAAAGGTTTTGGCAAATTTTGTGCTTGAGCATTTCAACATCTACTCTCTTGTTATTCTTAGTTTCCTGCCAGGTAAGAGTATAAGAATCATTAATTGTCAGCCACAACTTTTGCTTGATAATGTAGCCTGATTTGGACTCTGACTCCTCTTTTGTATTTCCTCTGAGGAAATAGAGTTGGGAGAGTGTGAAAATGTCAAAGTTCTTTATCCAAATGTATCTAATGCATGTACTCAAGGAGTAGACTCTGCCTTTAAAACAACTATTGAACTTGATTGCTAGTGAGTCTTTATGTAATTGGTGTCCCTTATAAACTACTGATTTTCATTACACATGCTGCCTATAATGACCCTTATACATTATAATAATCCTGTGGCTTATAACACACAATGTTCCGCATTCTTTCTCAGAGATGAGTTAACCTGCCTCTCTCTTCCTTCTGTGGTTTAAAATATTAGTACAGTAAAAACAGGCATCCATTAATTTAATTTGGTACCACCCTGCTGCTACACAGAGAGAGCACAAATGTGGACACGTAGTCCAGAACAAAAAAACCCTATGATCAGCAAGTTCTGTTACTGTTTCTCTTAACAATCAATCCCTGGATTGCCTCCAAACACAGTGTATGCCTACCTGCCTTCAAACTTTGCAGTGGCCCACACACAGGGAGTTTCACAGCAATCAGTTTGGTTTTAAAATCAGCCTAGAGGGATGCCCTCTGCAGTTATCATAGAACTACAGCTCTGGTCCACTGTGGCAGTCAGGATTTAAATTTTCTGTGTTCTCCCTGACTAAGTCTTCAAAAAATACTATAGATAAATGCTCTGGCTTCACAAATGGAGTTGGTGGGATAGCATTTTACCCATGAAGTCCAAGAAACAAGGTGTTGTAGGGCAGTGCTATGGTCTTAAGCCCAGATGAAATGTGAAGCTGCCAAAATACACAATCTGGTGAGAGCTGAAAAGTCCTTATCTCATGGGGAAAAAAATTAAAAAGAGCACTTTATCAAATTCCAGACAGCGCAGCACAAGAGCTGTTTGCAAATGCTGTGCAGTTTATATGGGGAAAAGAAGTATTCTCCAGCTTTGATTAGTCTGATTGTAACCACACCCCACCTCCAAGTGCTGCTTCTGTTTTGTCCCATGGGAGGTGTGAGAGAGCTCACTCTGTAGTTTCAGTTCATTCATGACACTGTGTATGAGGGAAGGCCCTAGACTGGACATACAATTTATCTTCCTCCCTACACTCTTCCCCCACCCCAAATACCCTCTTAAATCACTGCTTTATTGTTTCAAACAACAAGGCTGAACAGGTGAAATTTTAAATAATGATTGAGGATTTTTTTTATTCATTTAAGTTTCAATATCATTACAGAAAATGTTATGGTACAGAGTTGTTTAACATTAGTTTTATTTCTTTGCTCATTTAATTTCCACACGAATGCTGGTAACACTAATATCTGTACAAGATCAGTCTTTGATTTTTTTTAGTTTTTAGTTCTGTACATTTTTAAATGTATTGGTTAAAAAGGCTGTCAGCACTTAAGGAAGCAATTTTTTTGTTTGTTGAAATAAAAGGTATCCAGTTACTGCCCAAGAGTACTGAGCTGGGTGGCTGCCGGGACAAGAGACATCCCTGAATGCGCGGCGAGGTGAGGAAACCTCGGGGCTTCATTGGGTTCCCAGTGCAGCCACTCTGCTTTTGGCACTGTGCACATCAACACGAGATACAAGATAAAGAACAAGCAGAAGCTCTCTGTGAAGCGGTTATGAAGCATACTAATAAGGGAAATCCAAGTGTTGTCTACGCTAGTATAAATAAGCAGACAGCCTTGTTTTAAGAGCGTAAGTAGTTGTATCTTAAAGATGAGAAAAAACACAAGTTCTGCAGGCACCTACTGCTGTCTACTAAAAGCTACCGCTATTAGAACTAGCATTGAACACACAAAGCAATTGCAAGAAAAGGAAAAAGTTGCTTTGATATAATCAGAATAAATTTCTTTGTTAAGATTTGTTTCAAAGTTTTTTTTTTAAAAGGTATTTATTTAAATTCCATTTGAAATATATTTCAAGATGTTGACTATACTGATCAACTTTTATCCAAATCGGAAAAACTAGCTGTGCCGTTGCATATTACAGGATACAGTCAATGATATGTGGACATGCATCAAAGCTTCGCTCTTGCTGGTGACATCATAGCCTTCCAATGACCATGACATCCACCACCTCCCCCTTGTGAAGCTCCACATACTGCTCTGTCTTTGGAGGTAGCATCAACAGTCCATTGGCACTGCGCATACTCATCAGACGACTGCTCATCTGATTCCCTACAGGAGAGAGGCAGAACAATTTCAGTGGAGTCTTCAGTTAGTTCCAAATGCTGCAACATGGTGCAACAAACAAAAGCTGTTATGATGAAAATGTTTATGTGGCTAACTTATTCATGGAGCTGGGATCTTGCTGTTACAAGGTGGATGGAAACAGAGAAAGAACTCTGTGGAGATTTAGTCAGCCTCTCACTGCACTGGTTCTCAAAACCATCAGTCTCGTTGCTGATTGCTTTCCTATCCAGCCTTCCACATTATCTGTACCATGTATCTTGTCCTAGAAAATTGGTAATCCTATCAAAATTACTTTATTTTTCAATTTGTACACCTATTCCAGTTATACAAACACTAAACCCAGCACAGTCTAGAATGTCTTTAATATCCTCTTCTAGAATAAGTTTGATTAACTCTATTCTCTCTGAATAGAATAATTTAGGTTGGAAAAAACCTCCATGATCATTAAGTCCCATCTCTGACAGAACAGCACCATTTCAACTAAACCACAGCACTAAGTGCCATGTCCAGTTGTTTCTTGAACTTTTCCAGGGATGGTGACTCCACCACTTCCCTTGGCAGCCTCTTCCAATGTCCAACAGCCCTTTCAAGAGGAAATTCTTCCAGATGTCCAACCTCAGCCTCCACTAGTGCAGCTTGAGAGCATTTCCTCTTGTCCTGTCACTTGTTGCCACCCCCACTTGGCTACAACTTCCTTTCAGGCGGTTGTAGAGGGTGGTGAGATCTCCCGTGATTCTCCTTTCTCCAGGCTAAACACCCCCAGCCCCCTCAGCCACTCCTCATAGAACTTGCTCTCCAAACCCTTCACCAGTTCACTGCCCCTCTCTGGAAATTCTCCAGCACCTCAATGACTTTCTTGTAATGAGGGGCCCAGAACTGAACTAATATTTCCCTGTGGAGACTCATATATAGTGCTTTTTGTTGAACAATTTCAAAATAAAGTAGCAAAAAGACAGTTGTTTAAGGACCTAAATCTCTTGTAAAAGTGTCACAGTCAGCGTTCTAGCAGTACATAGCTGAACCAGTATTCACAGTACAGTATCTACCGCAACTGCAGCTGAGTATTCAGAAGTATTCCTAGGTGGCAAACATGACTAAGAAGTCTTTAGTCTGCTTTAAGAGAACATCTAGAGCCTCTGCTATCTTTCCTACTTTTCCAGTTCAGCTAAAATCACACTTCTTTTATTTGTATTGCTCCTACCTCTGCCCCAACTTGTGTTTGTTTAGTACATGCACAACAGCAGAAGGAAGCAAATGTGCCTGACTGCAAGTAAGCTTAATGGATATTTTAAAAAAGGAATGTATGCACATATGCAAGCATACACATGTAGTGTGTGTGTATAAGGCAGGCTATTCAAATAAAGGATGTTTTAATGGTTAAATTGACAAGCCATATCAGCACTGCATTTTGTACTAATGTATGTGTATGCATGTGCACAAATGTGTGAGCAAATCAGTCTGCATAAAGTAGGTTCTGTGAGAAAAACGTGCACACTCTTGGTTGTTCACAGACACATCTTTAGGAAGGCAAGGCTGTGTCAGTCTCTGTGACTGGCACTGACCTGTACTCTGTGCCCAAGGTAGTGGTTCTTGGTGATGCCAAGTCAGAATGCACCGATGATATTCTGGGCGGGGGTCCAATTTTACATCACATGATAACTGTAGGATTAAAAAAGAAAGGATGAACATGTCATGCTTTCACATTGCACTAAGACAATGGAATAATATGCTCAGTTGTTTTTCGTTAAAAACAGTCTTTTCAAAAACTCACATTTTGAGGTCAGATGGTGTCTAGTGCAAGATTAAAAGCTGTAGAATGCAGAGACTGCAGTATTTCAGAGACTGCAGTATTTAAGGAAATACAACTGTGAAATTACAATATCAAAGTGTCTGAAGGAGTCTACGTGCATTAAGTGGAATATTCCAAAACTGTTCCTTTACTGAGAGTTTACAGATAGTACTTCTCTAGAAAAAAAAAAAAAAAGCCTGGTCTTTTTGGATTACATTGTATAAAGATAAAAATGGTATTTGCATTCAAAATCCTGCTAGCTCTGACAAAAGGAAAATGGCCAATCTTTGAAATGAAAAGACATACAGGCGATGGCTCATAATGGAAAATACATGCAAAAGTGAAGGTCACTGCAAATTGCTCTCTCTTTTAGAATATTTTAGCTGTAAGATAAAATCTGGATGCTTGAGGAAGGGCAAAAGAGAGACATGGAATAAGCTGTAAGACAAGAGCATAGCCAAGAACACTAAGAAAACTACATAAGTTGATGTATGCCTTGGTACTTTATTTGGATCAAAAACAGAAGAAGAAGACATTATAATGACATGCCTTAAATCTATGTTAAATAGAGTTACATTATCCATGATTTATTAGAAAAGTGAGAAGAGTTTAAGGAATTTATATTGTTTAGGATGGGGATCATGTGGGTTTCTTTTATAAATAACTGAAAAAGAAGCCTTTAAAGTTTGTCTTTTCTATTGCTAATACAGAACTATCCAGCTCTAGATATTTGCAGATTACTCTGCATTTTTTACCATGGGCTAAAACAAATGTATTTTTTGAACAGGAGATTGTCCTTCCTATCTGATTGGCAAATGGCTGCCTCTGCATCTATATGTCTTGCTCCATTAGATGGCAATCTTACTCTAAAAAATTACAGGACTGAATATTACCATTAACAGAGACTGAGAATGTGCCTCTATTTGTGTGAACATCCTTCCACTGCCAGAACTAGTCTAGGGCTCAGACTCCACAAACACAACAGCCTTTCAGAGCCCAGAGACATGTGCTTCAACATTTTGAGAGAATTTTTAACTAGAGGATAAGCTTCTTACCCTGGCTTTGATGATGGTGGGCCGAGGATCCAGGATACCCTGCATTTTCCTCAGTGCAGGAACAACAAAGAGATTGCAGGTGACAACAGCTGACACAGGATTGCCTGTAGGACAAAGAACAGTCGGTGGTGATGCTCTCTTGGTTTACTCTGAAATGCTGAAAGTGAACTTATGTTTCATAGCAATTCTATTTTAAAGGACTCTACAGAGCTTTCCATGCTATGTACTGCATACAGTACAGACTGCAGAGGTGTGTGGCAAGGGGCATGTTCCAGTCCACCTGTCAAGCTACACTCGGGATGATGTGTGCTGAAGTCCTGCTCCGACCAGAACTGCCCCATGTTCCTCAGGCCCCACCATCTGCCTCTGTTCTTCTGCTACCTTTGTCCTATACCTACATTTGTCTGGGGCTGGAGCAGAGTTAATTGTGCATAGTTGTTGGCTCTACCCTCACAGGGCTCTTTATTCATGACTAATGGTTCCCAGACACCAAGGGAAGAATAACTTTCAATTCCCTAACAGAGTAGCAAAATGCTTTAGGACAAATTCTAAGGAGAATTCTACTGATTTATATGTTTTCTGTTGAGTCACAAAAGAGGTGTATGACCACCTGTCAAAATCACTGTCTTACATATCTGGACTTCTCTAGACAACAAATGAAAAATAAATACTGTGATTAGATGGATGCTCCACTGATCTCTCCCCTGTAAGAAAATGTACTGCAGCAACTAGAGCAAGAGGGGTAGAAGCACTAGAGATACATCTGAAAACCACCAGCTTATCAAGCAATCAAGGATGGCTTGTGTAGTCAAAATTCATGGAAAGCCAGAGCAATAAGAATAAAATAAATTCCTCCTCATTCAGAAGGACAGAAATCCATAAGGAAATCTTTATTCTAAACAAGTGCTTTCCCAGGGCACACAGCCAGCAGCAGTGCAGCCATGCTGCCCTCTTTTGGTTCTACAGCATGAGCATGATAAACAAAAATATTCCGTGACATGTTCCTTGGCATTCCCTCATTTTTGTCTCCATTTTCAGTATGTCAGAGTGGATGCATTGACTTACACCCACAGGATATTTATGGTGAAGGTGCAGGGAGCTGTAGGAAAAAACACCCTTGTGAAAAATGTAAGGAAATTGTTGGATGGAAAAAATCCTAAGACCTGTACCAGAAAATTCTGAGGACAAGGACAAAAAAGAACTCCTTAGCACATCCTGTAAGTCCATATCTTCTGGAAATTTCTGAGAAAATCTTACAGGTACCTTCCTTAGGGGCAAACACCAGGCACAGGTGCTGTGAAGTGTCTATTCTGTTTCATGTCTGTCATCTATGCACAGCAACAAAAGTAATCCACAAATCTTACCTGGAAGCGCAAAGATTATTTTTCTTACACCGTCAATATCCAGAGTTGCAAAAGTTGTTGGCAGGCTATGGAAAAATAAAGTTATTTAATATCTGCATTAGAATTTGTCTGAACATTATTGTATTATTTAAAACATTTGCAAAAGAAAATGAAACAGAACAGGACATCTCTCTCTCAGCAGTTCATCAGAGCCTGCTGGTTATTCCATACTGGAGGTATAATCCTCTCTTTATGGTGGCAGAATAATTTTTCTTGATATTCAACTCTGAAGCTTTAATTTGGAGAGGAAATATCTAAAAGGAAATGAACTAGTAATCAAAAATCAAAATCTTGTCTTCATGCTAGAAGCCAATTAACAATGAAGTAATACTGGAATTATGCAATTACAGAGCTGTGTTTGTTTTTCATATAAGGGTTTCTAATTTTTTATAACACTGGTGACTCTAATTCTCTTACTCCAGGTCTCTACAACAGTACTACAAGGAAGCAATATTTCTGAGCAGCTAGTCAGATGAACAAATTCAGATACCACAGGCAGAGCTGCAGCCAGGTGACACCCAGGTCTATCAATGAAGAGCTCTCTCTGCCTTACAGAGCTGCTCAGTGATTTTGGTGACTTGCTGTGAGGGCTATTACCTTTACAAAAACAGGACAGTAATGTGACAGCTCAAGAATAATGCGGCTGGCAAAGACAAGGGACTTATCCATGAAAAAAGAATTTTATGTTAGTATAATCCTTTCAAACATTAGCAATTATACCATAGGAGCAGTAATTAGGCTGGTTTCCTTGGCTTTATCTTGAGCTGACCACTACCACCTGGTCAGCAGGTGACAGTTTACAACTTTGAAGTTTTGCTGCACTTTGATCATTATCACCTACTTTTGTATCTGTTAAGAGCCATCAATATTCTAGTTTACCAGGGCAAGTTAGTGTCTGACATTCCTGCTTTAAAATGCCTCTAACATGATGGGAAACTACGTGCCAGACCTCCAACTGTTATAACCAGTGCACAAACCAATGGACAAAAAATTGAATTGCTAATTCATATTTACTGGAAACTCTGAATTCTTGTATGACACTTCAGCACCATCATTGGTAGAATCTTCCAGTACTTCCTTCTGTCACTGCAGCTAGACAAGATAACCTTACAGGAGCTCAGCAACTTTCAGACCAAGTGGTGCGACGGTAAATCCCAAGGACCACCCTGCACTCATGAAGCACCTCAAATACAGGCATACAACAAATTCTGACTTCACTCTTTTTATTCTTCACTCTCTTTGAATTTACTCAAGGGATTTTTTTCCCAATACAGTAACCACAACCTACAATCTGTTAAGATGCAGTTAATAAAACCCAAGATACAATATTTTCTATTGCACTACAGCTAATGAAAAAGAGAGTGCTTACATTCTCAGTAACAACTGATGAGCAAATGTTTTGGTAGCAATAAGAAATACTTTTCTTGTGACATAAATTGAAAAGGGACATTTAAGGGAAAAAAACCATTTTCCCAGCTAGTTATTAAAAGTTCCTTGCTGCAGGTCTACAGAGGACTCACCAGGAGAAAAAAATTATGTTTGCTTACAAGTAAGCCAGAACCAGAATTTAATACTCTGAATTCTGTAAATCAAGTTTGTCCATTTTAGTCAGCAGCAGAGATAGAGTGCAGATTCTGCTTCTGGGACTTCCCTACATCAGTTGTAGCAGTATGACAGAAGCAGTGAGCAGTTTCCATGCCTGGGCTACATCCACCATGGGAAGAAACAAGATTTTAGCCTCACTCATTCCTTATGTGGAAAGGAGGTGGTGGTAGGAGCAGCACAAGCACCAAGCCCACACGCAGATCTTTATCAGACTGTATGCAGAGACAGTGAAAGTATTTGTCTGTTTTCACAGCAAACACCCACTTGCAGCTCTGCTCCGTGACAACAGTTCTGGGCTAGAGGGAATCATTCTGCAAAGCTGTGCTCGATCCTGTGCAGCTGGACCATTCCAACCCAGCTTGCAAACAAACTGCCTTCCCTAGGGAGTGAGGCAGAGGTGCAGACATCTTTCTGCTCTTGCACTGTGGAGAAAAGGGAACTCTCTGTTTTCAATATGTGTGATTTTCATTCTCTCTGCAGAGCACTTTCAGACTCACTGATGAGCAGTGCTACAGCATAGAAAAGCAACGCTGAAACAGTTTTGTGAGGCAAACTAAACATATAAAGGACTCAGCTAACTTAAAAATTACTATGCTCAATATGCCAATTAGACAAAGCTTTGTAAATTAGCTATCATTCCACCTCTCAAGGAACTGCTTGTAGGAATATAATTAATGCAAATTTTGAAGTGAAATGAGATACTCTTTAAGCAAACTGTCCATTTAATGTCCTTATATTTCCTGGTTATTTCATGGTAATGTCAGTGTGAGCTCTGTGATTGCACTGAAGGCTGTGGCAATGTTTATATCATGCTGGTTTCCCACCAGTCCCCAAACCTGATTTGCAACAGTTATCAGAGAAATATCTCTTACTGATAAAAAATAATCTCCCTGTTCCAGTTAATTTCACCCATAAAGATGATGACTAATCTGAAGAGCACTGATTTTGCTGCTTTTCCCACATATATCTGTCCTGTGGTTTACAGTATATTTGGAAAAGTGAAATCTACTGAAGCACTTCACTAGGATATTTGGCCCAATGCCAATTTAGCCTCCATCTAGGCTGCCTAAGCAGAAAGATTTCTTACCCAGGTTTCATAAAAACTCTGCCAAAGTGAATCTGTGCATGAAGATCAATATCCAGCACCTGTTTAAGATAGTCCTGTTTAATTAAAAAAAGAATAAAATTAAGTAACATCAAAGTGGCTTTACATCATCTAAGCATTCAAAGCAATTAATTAATATCAAGTGAAGATGAAAATTTGCATATCCTGAAAGTGCTACAGCCCAGTAGGGAATTTTCATCATTTGAAAGTGTTTTGAAAAAGAAAAAGTAAAGAACAGACTCATTTAGGTGCCAAACCTGACTCCATGAGGACATATATTTCCTTAAAATTCATCTGCAGCATCAGAATCTTAGAGCACTCCACAAATACCTACTACTAAAACATTCTCTATGACAAAGATGGAAAAAACCCTTCACGATTCAAAGCTAAGACTTTAAATTATCCAGTTATTTAAATTTTGCCATAGAAGCTATCAGTTGTAGATTTAGAGATCGCCTACTACTTTTGAAATCAATACTGTAGAAATCATAGTTTTCCAGGATACTGTAATTATTGTAATTTCTTGGGTCTAATGGTCTAATTCACAGTGCTTGGGTTTAACATTCCTTAGAAAAAAAAACTGGGTGGCTTGTGAATGAGTTCAAGCTAAAAGATTTTGCATAAACATGACTGATCCAGTTATTAAAACAAATGGAATTACTGGTTTAATCTTTATTGATAATTGTTGTGCCTAAAGATGTAGTACCCTATCTGTTGTGTTTAGTGACGCTAAAGAGGCAGGCCATAGCAGTCATTTGTGAAGACAGATGGGTTTCACTAGCAATCAGCAATCAGAAACTAGTAAATCACAAGTAAATCAGAAAATCCCTGGCAGTGAGCCCTTTTTTTGTGCATGTGTATGTTCAAGTACTTGGAAAGCAGCAACTCATTTCAGCCAGGTGTTAACTCACAATTATTAATTGCATTAACCCTGCTTTTACTTTCTATTTACTATTTGGATGTTCACAGCTATTTCATTAAAACTGTAGAAAGCTCAGTATCAGAGGGCAGACCATCAGTGGAATGTAGAGCCTACTGACTTTAGGCTGTTGTCCCAAGTTCACACTGGGGAGAAATGAGCCAAAATCTGAATGTCTGTAAAACCACTCAGCAGCTCAGCCAATTCTTAGTGTTACTGTGTCTGCACTATGTTGCCACATTCCCAATTTAAAGACCAGTACTTGTCCTTGATTATTTTTCTAGGCATACTGGAGACAATGGGAATAACTGAAAGTTATTTGCACTGGTTTAATTAATTATCCATTTTCATGATGTATCCAGTGATATGATTTCTACTCAGAAAAGTAAACAGAACCAGCACTCATGTTTCCCACCTCCTAATGACAGTCTTTAGTATCTGTTAGTTATAAAAGATGTTTATTTTACCTGCCAAACTCACAGATTCAGCCTGGGATCAAAAAGTAATTTGAGTTTTCCTTCGCATAAGTCATGATTAATAAATGTCCTGCAGGTTCATCTATGCCCCACCAGCATCTGTGTATCCCTATTTTCTTTGATGATTTTGGCACAGGGATAATCAACAGGAACTCAATCAACAATTCTGTTAATGATTCAAAAGGCAAATATATCAGCTCACTGGGTCTCATAAGTACTGTCTGTAGGACTATCAAATGTAGGTGCAAGATGTGATAAAACTATTTTTGTAACAGATAGAGCTTTGGCACATTCAGGAAACAGATGTGCCGAGTAAAAAAATGCTATTTATATACTTAGGTTGCTTTTCAAAGTACTTTCAAAGTACCTCAATGCTATCTACATTTTACCTGCTCTAAAAATAAACTCTACTGTCTTCATGTGCTATTAACCCAGCACCTTCCTCATCTACATAAATCATTCCTTAAATAAAAACACATTTGTAAATCCCTCACATCAAGAATTAAAAGCTTCTCTGTTGTACTATGTCAACTACAGTACAGAAACAAGAGCAAATGGAATGAGCTTTGAAGACTATTTTCTTCAGTGATTTACTTGTAAGTGTTCCAATAAAAGTAAGGTTCATTTTCAATAAACATTAATACAAAGGAAGTAGCTTGAATGGCAGACTCTGGTTTGAAATTCTTACGTATATTGTAGGAAGCCAAACTTAAATTTTGCATACCTTTTCCCCCATAGATACACCTCCTGATGTAATGATCACATCAGCACGGCTGATACCCTCATTCAGTGCATTCAGTAAATCATCTGGGCTACAGGAAAAAACAGGGAAGCAGATTAGTGGCATGGAATTATCATGACTTGTAATATAAGTCTGTGTGCACACATACAGGTGCATAAACACACTTGTTTTAAGAGAATAATAAAAGCTCTTTTCCTTCTTAAGATTCCACACTGTTCAATTCTAGTCAAGAACTGCAATCTCATTAAGGGAACACCACACTGTTTGGCACCTTTCTGTCTAAAGTTTGCAACAGAATCAGTGGGATACTTTAGACTGGGACTGAAGAATGCTATTACAAGTGTCTAAGAGTATGCAATTGGAACAATAGGTAGTAATACAAATTGTGACTTAGATGAACGGACAGGGATATATAAAGGCACCTGACACATGAACATTACTGACCACCAAGCAGGCTGCAGTACTACCTGTCTACCTTATCTGGTGTGTGCAAAAATGGGGATGAGGCTCCACTTCAAACTTTGATCAGTGAAGAGAGGAAGTAAATCCTTTGTTTCTCTTCTCTGTTAGGGGGCTCTGCAGCAAAGCCACCTGTAAATATCCATTTCAGCTTGCAAAAACACAATCCATGCTGTTAAAAGGTCTATTCACCTTCATGAGAAACAGTGTAATGGGGGCTATGATATTCTTCTGTACAGAGTATAACTGTGAAGGAAATTGGTGTCTTCTTTTCTTTCCATTTTAGATCTAAACTGGAAACTTTGATATGAGAATTAGATATTTAAGAGCAGTACTGATGCTAATACAGAGCTTCAAGGCATGCAGTGGAGAAACTCAGTAATACAACTCACACAGGTCCAAAGGAATCAAAACCAATTTCCAATATATTAAATTCATGCTTTGCATTTAACATTTGTGAACTGACCAGAAGCTGACCGCTTGCTATGACTGTATGTATTGCTTCTTCAACAGTATGTTTTCAGTTCAGTGATCCTGAAAGCTTTTCATGGCTGGTCCTACTTACAATGCCATCGAAAGAATGGGCGATTATACTAGTGACTGTATGAAGGCCTTCACCTGGAATATAGCACCTCAGGTAAATACCATGCTACAAAATGCCATTGTGGGTGGTGAATGCAGGCTGAAAATGGCATGAGGGCTATCCTTTGAGAGCTTGGGCTGTATTTCATCCAAAAGTAGAACTACAGCAGTGATTTTGGCGTTTGAGCTGAAAACACAAAAATTAGGTATATTATGCAAGTTCTAGTTGACCTTTCAGAGACTAGCAGAAACTCTGTGTTTCCAAATGTCTCAGAAAGAAAAATCCTTTCCTCTGAGCATCCTTTCTTTGCCCATGGTTCAGTGAAATATAAGCAGCAGTTAGCATGACGTGCTGCAGTGTGCACTACAATTTATGTGGTGCAAGAATGAGCGCGCTCCCTCACTGAGTAAATAGCTCAGTGCAACCTTGCACATGCCTCATCTCACCAGAAAGCCCTCCGGTGTCCTCTACCCTGGTTATGCCTCACAGGCAGAAAGGCTCATGACTCTTTCTCCACAATGTCCAGTGACTGAAGCACCATGTTCTCAGGCATCACAGGGCAGTCATCCTGCACAACTTTATTACCTATGTTGGGTTACACCCCTCTCTAGGGTCAGATTGCTTTTCAAGAGGCAGGCAACAAGATACAGCAGAAAGAAGGGCAGATTGCTGTAGACTGCAGTCAATAGGACAGAATTATACACTACTCCTTTTTTAAAGGAAACAGTGGCTGCAGTGTTGTGGCATGCCATCATGACTATGGTTTAGGGTACTGGGTACCTTGGATATTCTTAATGGCCTACAAAGAACACCTAAACTGTTTTCTTTGGGGGAAAATAAATGGGCTCAAGCAAAACCATCTCCTTTGTTCTTTAGGAAACTGAGACATTTTATCAGCTCCCCCTTCTGAAATCTCAGGATCATTTTCTCCAAAACCCAGCACAAGTCTTCACTAGTCACTGAAGGAAGTAGAAAGAAGCAATTCTGCTGTTGGCTACTTCTTCAAAACCAATTGTCTCATACTGAGCCTCTAAGTAGTATCTGTATGTAACAAGATATTATTTAAGATTATGATAGAGTTTGTAATAGGAAAACTGTCTCAAGATCTAAGTATCCCTTAATCCTTGCCAGTGAGGCTGCTTGGAATGCAGCAAGGAATACATATTCATTACATAGGTCGATATTGGCATTCCTGAGGCTCAGCAGTCAGACATATGCCACTATCAGCAGCCCAAGACTGCTTTCAGTACTTTTTTCTCATTAGGTTGTGATGGAGCTGAGGACCTTATCTTGAACTTGCTCCAGGCTGTTTCATTTTATCTTGTTTAATTATTTAAAAGTTATTCATAGGTAGCAAGTCTACCTGTCTGGGGGCATGCTAATTCTGGAAAATGAAGTGGGCTTGCTTTCAGTTGTGGTTTGAGAATAATGGAAAGAACAGTAAAAAGCAAACAAGTATATATTTAATTGTCATTAAAGTTAAATAGAATGGAAATGCAGCTACTTACATATGAAAAAATATGTATTTGTATATCTATTAAATCACTTAACAAAGGAAAAAATCAATAAACCCCCTTCCCCCTCCAAATAAGCCTAAACTCAAACCCGGTGAGGACTCAATTCACGTCTTTTCTTATGAGGACAGCATACCACTGGACTAGTTAATCATTCAGGTCTTCACTATTTTAAAATTCTTTTCTTTACCATCTGAATAGTGCAAGGCATTAAAAAATTCTACCACTAAGACTTATCCAGGCAATAGCACTGCATGTCGTCTTCAACATAGTTACAGAATGAATTTAATTATTTCTAAAGGAAAGAGGTGACAGAAATTTTGTTGCAATAAACTTACTAATTATGTTAGTTTGGTTTTCATTTTGAAAAAAGGTGAAGGAATTTCCTCCCTTGCTGTTGCAGAAAATGTCTCTTTTTGGACATTTTTGGCAGACTTCTTTTTGTCACTCAGGTCTGTTTAACTTTTTGTTGTACTTAAGGCTAGTAGTTCCATGACTCTGCAATTAGCACCAAACACTCCTTACAGGAGTCCCCTGTGGCAGTCTTCAATCAACACTGTGAACATTTCCCTCGCCTTTAGTGGATTTAATGCGGAGAGTTATTACTCAAATTGCATATTAACACTGAGTTGATATAATCAGGTAACAAGATACTACTTCTTGTTTCATTTGTTGTGTAACAGTGAGCAGCTGGTCCTTTAGATTGAAAAAGGAAATAAAAGGAAAGGGAATAAATAATGAAAACTATTAGGTTCTGAAAGAATAGACAAGATGACTTTGGCATCTGAGCATAGCACGACAAGATTGTTTTAAAAGGCAGGTGACAAATCGCCATGAAGCTGAGAAGTAACACTCACTGTCTGAGCAGGTACAAATCAGAAGCTATATTCTGAAGCAGGGCAGGATACTGGATTAGCTAGATTAATGGTCTAATTTACCACAATAAATCCTTTAAAATATCTTGTCAAAGTGCTATTCTTGGATTTTTTTTCCCCTTCAAAGACAGAACTGTAACAGGTGCTCAAATATAATGGTGAATACCTTAATCAATGTAAAGTAGATTTTGATGGAAAGTCTAATTTCCAGATGGCAAAATTACTCTGTTTCATTTGGTGATTTTCAAAGTCAAAGTCAGAGTGACATTGTGCACAAAAAGTGAATGTGCTTTTCTAACATGCTGGAACTTATTAAAAAAGTTATACTCAGATGTGTTTCAGATCACATCTGATCATCTTTTGTTAATACCTTGAAGAAAATTTGTTATTTAAGGACTGCATACAGTTTATGAAATTATTCACATACATAAATAAGGAACAAATCCAAACTTTCTCTCAACACCTGGAGCAGATTGTGTCTGCATAAATATTATGTGTATTGTACATACATTTTTGAAGCTGCATAGTAATTTGCATAAAGAGTGCATGTATTTTTAACTATATCTTTATATTCTCTGCTAATTTTGTCAGTCTGATAAACAGAGTATCTACTGTAGTATCCCAGTTTCCTGATCCTTCTTGTTCAGTTTTGTGGAACAGAAGGAGCAGTACAATCTGGAAATTGGTTGGAGGGTAACCATTGTACAATGGCAGCAGCAAGCATCCAGTAAGCAGATGTGTGACATTGCAGCTGACACTTGCTTTCATTGATTTGAAGAGAGGACTTGCAGGATGGCAGTACAGCAGGAACACCTTCTGGATTCATGAAAAATTCTGGTTATCAAAGTTAGTTTGTGGAAAACTTATTCAACACTTGAGCTGTCAAGTGAGCTGTCTTTGAACGGAAAAGATATACAAGAAAGCTTAAGAGCTTGAACAAGAAAATGATGCAAGCCTCATTAAAATAGACATCAGGCATGTAAATTTTCTCCTTTCCACTCTCAAAAGAAACAGCAACATTATAGTCAAGACCAAAGAATTCTCTGTGTTTTAAGTGCCAGTTTGAAGTACCCTAAATTACAGTGTAATTTTCTCTTTCACATAGAAATCAACACATGTTAATTCACTTTTGTTGATCCTATTGTTGTGCTTCACTGTCATTAATTATCAATCTGTCTGCTTTTTCTGTGATACAACCCCAACAGCAGCAGTTTGATACATGCAATTAAACTGCTCAGTTTTATAATTTGATATAGAAAACAAATAACAGCAAATGTTCCAAAAATCACCTACCACTCTGCAGCAAAACTAAGATCCCGGTTAAAATGGGGCTAGAACCTTTAGTTAGGACTGACTTATCAAGCCATTGTCACAGTACAAAACCCATAGTTCATTGCTGATTTCCAGGATCACTTCCACCACAGGAGTTCTTTGCCACAGGAGTGTCGCTCATCCAATGTAACCTCATTACCTGACAGTCACTTCCAGTCCTCGCTGCCCATTGCCAAATCCAGCTGCTACTATTGGGTGACTAACAGAAACACTCGTGGCTCTTGTATTCCTCTATGCAGCAGCCTGGGTTTTTATAAACCCAGGTCTTCTGGTAACCTGTACTTGCAAAATGTGCATGCACCATCAC